ATCCTCAGCACCACATAAAAACAAATAAAGACATTGTGTGTCCATCTACAACTAAAATATATATATATTAAACAAACAAAAAACCTCTACAGTAAAAAACATAAGTTTGAGACAGAGTCTTGCGAAGTTGCTGAGGCTGGCCTTGGACTTGCATTCCTCMTGCCTCAGCCTCCCAAGTCACTGGAATCATAAGCATGTGCTACAGCCCCTGGTTGCTGTGCCCAGATCAGAAGGCATTTCTAACAGAAAAGGTTTATCTTTGTTTACTCTGCCCTTTTCTTCCTTCATTTTTAATAGTCACCAGCAACATTTTGCTTGGGAAGAGTCCCACAAGACCAACAATGTGATAGTTTTATACCTTGGATTGCATGAGTTCCCTGTCAATGAATGCCTCTGATAAAACATTTCAACCTCTCAGTGTTAAAGTGTTTCTTTACTTTTGTGAAGGGAGAATGAATCAGGTGAGAAAATTTAAAAAAAAAAAGTGACTAAGTACATGCTGAGATAAATTACATTAAATACTTTTAGGGATGTAAAGATGTGTTTTATTCTTCTTCTTTGTCCTTCCTTCAGAATTTAGTTTAGGTAACCACTTAACAACTTAGGTGTACAAGCAAAGCTTGGTGGCCCATGTGTTTTTGTTTTCTCTGAGGTAAATGATGAGATTGTTCTGTAAGAAGCTTGGAGGCAAATTTATTCAGGAGTCAAGGCAACCTGGATCCACTCGGCTTCAGGCCCCAAGAGACATCTATTGGCAACCCAAGTTGCCAACAACTTGGGGGTAGAGGAGAGCTGTGTTTAGTGGAGAAACAGAGTTCAAGAACAAATTTTCTGAAGATCTCTCCAACTTTGATTTCAATTCTAATTTCTCTAATAGCACTGGCTATTGAGACACTGGGCAGATCATTAACCAGGAACTTTCTAGGACCTCTGTTTCTGCACATTTACTAAATAGGGGTAATAATATTCATCCCAGGGATCAGCATGTGCCCACAAATGTGCCTTGAGTATTTAGAAATGATAGTGTCATCAAAATTCAACCTGTAATCCTAYTTGCTCAGGAGGCTAAAACAGGAAGATCCCATGTTCAAGGCCAGCCTCAGCAACTTAGCAAGGCCCTAAGCAAGTTGGTGAGACCCTGTAATAAAAATTTAAAAATT